GAGCGAATAATATATATATATGAATGGTGTCGAATGGTTAATGAGCGATGTTGCTAATGGCAAGTGAGCGATAATATGAGAGCGATATGGGGAATCAAATAAGGTTGTGTGTGATCTGAGCATTCCTTAATAGCTAAAATTTTTATGGAGAAGATGGGCGAGTGATGTTAGTTAATAAGCAAACCATATATTTATAATATGCAATGGCAAAAGTAATGAATGTAATCATGCTTGATTGTTAAACACAAAATCTAGATCCGTTGGTACTTGACCTTAAGGGATTTACAGCAAGGCTTCAATGATGCCCAGAACTAGAATATTATAAGAAAGAAATGCTACTGTCACTAGAAATTTCTATGAACTAATAGACAAGCGCCTATGCCCATTTAAGTATCCTATATTCTGACTCATTAGTAGCTTTACCCTTATGTGACCTCTCTTTAATCAGAATCGAATTCGGAGCAACAGTTAAGCATGTCGAGAAGGCTCTCGCGTACTTAACTACATTAAACTGCCTAAATTCTATTAATGAATACGATGCAAATTCGGGTTTAACTAGTCGATTTGTCTATGTTCTTTCACAGCGGATCTAGATTCCGAATGTTAACATTTAAACACACATATGGAGAAGGAACAAAGATGAATACGAATAAATCATGGTATTTGATATAACTATTAAAACATTAAAGATTTACATTATGAAAGCTATAAAAAAGTTGTAAATCAAAGCAGTAATCTATACTAGAAAGCCATAAAGTGAGCGACCAAGAGATGGGAAGATCTGGACTCTCCTGGCCATTCCTAACTAGAGAACTCACTTACAAGGTTGGAGCTCTCGAAAAGCACTAAAAATCTGTAGAAACTATGAACACTTGAATATAGTGTAATTTACAAATGAAATATGGCCTTATTTATAGTATCAAGATCGGAACTTGGGCGGCAGTTGAAAAGCAGTTGAAACTTCTAGGCAGTTAGGCGGTTGACAACAGTTAATCTGTTATAAAAGTTGCACCGTCCATAACTCCCAGGTTGCTTGCTTTGCTTGCCTCATAATGCATGGGCACATATATTCCTCTCTTGCCTAGATTGCTGAAGGGCACCAGCGCAGCTCAAGCGGTGCCATCCTCGCTAGCTGGCTGTGGAATGGGATGACTGCTTGGAAGCACCTTCGCTTGCCTTCAACACTTAGTTTTTTGGGGCCAAAAATATCGTTTACAAAGGCTAAAAATGTCCATAATCTCAACAAACAGGATTTGGGTCATGCCAAGAAAAACAAAGCAATTAAGTATACTATAAATCATATATTGTGATAGTTTTCACATAAAAATTCAAGTAATACACAATTTTGTCAAGCGAAAAATATGCTAATGTTTGGAATTATCACTAATAATTTTGTTTGCCCATGTATTTGTATAAAGAAGAATGGTACAAAATTTGTAATCATAGTTGTTTATGTAGACGATATGAACTTAATTGGAACTCCATAAGAGCTCCAAGAAACCATTGAATACTTAAAAAATGAATTTGAAATCAAGGATTTCGGAAAAATGAAATTTTGTCTTGGTCTAGAAATTAAACACTTGGAAAATAGAACTTTAATCCAACAATTTGCATATACCTATAAGGTATTTAAATAATTTTCAATGAATAAAGCACATTCTTTAAGTACTTTAATGGTCTTTAGAACTCTCGATCCTATTATGGATTCTTTTAGACCAAAAAAAAAAGAGAGTGAGGAAACACTTAGTCCTGAAGTACCATATTTACATAGTGTAATGCCAACACAACGACATTGGAAATGAATTAAACATATTTTTTGTTTTCTCCAAGGAACTATTGATCTCGGCTTATTATATCCGAAGGAATGTCGATATTAATTGATTGGATATGCAAATGCTGAGTATCTTTCTAACCCGTATAAAGCCAAGTCTCATACTGACTATATATTTACTTGTGGCCGTACTGTGGTATCAAGGAGATCCACTAAAGAAACATTAACCGCCACATCTTCAAATTATGCAAAAATAATAGCTATTCATGAGACTAGTCGATAGTGTGTTTGGCTGAGATCAATGATTCACAACATTTTACAAAATTGTGGTATAGGATCTGAAAATGATAATTCTCATACTATTTTATATGAAGATAATACAACTTGTATAGCTCAACTGAAATGAGGATATATCAAGGGAGATAGAAACATATTTCACCGAGAAAATTTCTTTACTCATGATCTTCAGAAAAATGGTGAAATAGATGTACAGCAGATTTGATCAGATGGAAATTTAGCACACTTGTTGACCAAGGCTTTACCGACCGCAACGTTCGAGAAATTGGTGAAGAACATCGGGATGCGTCGGTTACAAGATTTTAAGTAAAGTCCACATCAAAGGGAGTATTTTTTTAATGCATGAATTACATGCTCTTTTTCCTTCACTAGGATATTTGTTCTACTAAATTGTTTTCTAGTAAGGTTTTAACGAGGCGTATTCATTACAACCAATAACACCTAAGGGGGAGTATTATGACTTATCACAATTTTATGAGTCATCATAATAGGTGTCTTGTTTTATACATGCAATGTGCCATATTATAACCAAATGTAATTTTATTAGTGTTGTGTGTCATCCAAAGTGATAACTAATCACTTCTTTAAAGGCCTATAAATAGGCCATTGTGTAAATCAAATAAATCATCAAGGAAGAATTATCATATTCACTCTTTAAATAATAATACATACACTTGGTTGATATATATTAATATACATATAATCCACTATATATTATTCATATATATCTTATTATTGTTGAAATTTTGGCCCAAAACCCAATCCGTAACCCAAAGCCTTGTAATTCGAACCTGACCCGCTTGGCCCGCACGAAGATAAAACCTCTACCTCTCTTTTCTCTCCAAGTCAGTTCTAATCTATGTGTGTTCTCTCTTGGGGCGGAATCTCTCTGGGGTTTTATGTTCTCCAAGTTCCAACCGTTCCTGTTTTTCAGCTTTCTGGTTAGTTCATTCTTTTGCGTGTTCTTACTGTTTGAAATGTTAAAATCAATGCGTCGATTAGTCAATTTAGGGTTCCGATAGGTAGGTTCATTGGTTTGGGGTTTTGTTGAAGGCAATTGGGTTAGTCTATTCACCAATCAGAGAGGTTGTAGATGGAGCCTGTGACACCCCGGCCCGTAAGTCACGCAAAGCCGAGCATCTGGCCCCACAGGTCAATACAAGTCCTTCTAGCATGCTTCTATCCTCACTCACGCGCACCCTAGGAGACTTCCCAGGGGGTCACCCATCCTCAAACTTAACTCTAGAGTTCTCTCAGTAAGGCTCCCGAAAAAGAATGTGGACATTGTTGACATGGGTAGTCTATTCGAACCATTAATTTACTATTCAACCTCGACGTCCTCGCGCAAGTCCTTCCAGCTCGCTTCTGTCCTCATTCATGCGCACCTTAGGAGACTTCCCAGGTGGTCACCCATCCTCAAATTACTCTAGGGCAAGGACGCTTAACTTTAGAATACTTTGAATAGGGCTACTGAAAATAAATGTGCACATTGTTGACCTAGGTACTCTATTCAATCCATTAATTTACTATTCAACCTCAGATGACCTAGCACCGGGCCAACTCCGGGGGTAATACACAGCTGTCCAAAATTTTCCCCAATCTCTTCTGTCGAATCAATTTGGGAATTTCTAGAAAAGGACGCCATTGCTACTACATGTTCGTTGCTGGACGTGGACGCCGCTACCAGAGCCACTGTCATTGGCGGACAAAGATTAAAGACCTGTTTGTCTTGGATGGTTCTACTAAACAAAAGAGGGAGTTCTTATTTTCTCTTTGTGTTTAACAGAGTCCCTCTGCAGAATATATTTTGTTTTGTTTTCTTAATTTCTTGTTTCTTTTTGTTTGTGTTTCAAATTTAGATTAATTGTTCTTGGTTATATATTTTTGGAACATATTCTTGTGAAGATTTTTTGTTGTTTGATAGATTAGAATAAAAACACAACAGTGTTATCAAAGCCAAAATCTGTCAAAGCATCGAGTTTGGACAGAATCTTTGGGTAAATCGATCGTTGGTAATAGATCGATTTGGTAAAATGCTAAACCTTCTCTTTTTAAGTTCTTGGTGAATCTGCTGATTGCATATTAGATTTGTTAGTTGGTGAATCTGCTGTTGATCTTGAGAATCTTGATTTCCTTCGTGCTTCTCATTTGGTTGTTGATTGATAATTGCTTTGTGGCTTTAGTTTGTTATTGCTGCAAATGTTGTGCTTGAGTGATAGTTTATTGTTTGAATTGTGTTTTTTAGTGATTTCTTTTGTGGGTAAATATTTTCTTTTAAATGACTGATCCCATGGGTACTTTGTTTTTAATATGCAGCCGTTCGATGGAAAAATAGATTTTACTATTTGGAAACAAAGAATGAAAAGTATTTTAATTAATCAAAAAAAAATTCGAGCAATAGATGCCACATACGATAATGCTACACCTCCTGAAAAATGTGTTGAAATGGATGAATGTGCATGTTCGTGTATTGTGTTGCATTTAACTAACAATGTGCTTAGGAATCTCCTCCGGCGCCGATCCACGTCGCCGCCTTCATCTCCGGTGATCTGGCCGGAATCTCGCCGTTCTAATGGCACAGGCGAATTCCTAGCCCTCGAAAACCTCAGGGTAGTGCTGGCCAACTCCTCCTCTCGCCTCCCGATCATCGATACCGAGAGCTTGACCCCTCTAGACACTCCGGCACCGCCGCCGTCCTCTCCACCGCCGTCCGCCGGCCCCCCTCCGGCAGCAGCTGCTGCTGTGGCCCCGACGGGACTTCAGCCCGGGGCCCCACCCCCTCGTTCCAGTGTTTGGGGTGGGAGGTCGTTCGCCGATGTTGTTTCGGGAGCTCCGTCGGGATTACAATCGGCTGTCGATGGTCCCTTTTCATTCATGGAAGGCCTCGCCTAGCTTCTGTTGGTGCGTGAACTAGCTCCGAGGATGGGGTTTCATGTCTCCGTTTACTCCGGCGGAGACGTCGAGGTACGTGATGGCTAATCCCTCTTGGAAGCATGTTTTAGTCGGGAGGTTCCCGTTAGGCTATTCCTCGTGGCATGATATAGTGGCTGCATTTACTAGCTTTCGTTTAGTGGGGCAGTATGAGCTTTATGGTTTATGCCATAGACATATTATCATTCGTCTGTCGGATAGCTGTGATTATGTTACGATGTTGATCCGTGGTCTTTGGATGGTGCGGGGGGCACCACTGCACGTCTTCAAATGGACGCCAGGCTTTAAGACCACGGAGGATCCTTCTGTTGTCCCAGTGTGGGTGACTTTCCCAAAGTTACCACTTCATATGTATCACCGGGACATGTTGTTTGTGGTCACCTCAAGGCTAGGTACGCCTCTGACAGTTGATGCTCCGATGGCTAGGAGAGACAGGTGTTCTCATGCACGTGTCTGCATTGAGTTGGATGTATCACAACCGTTGGTTGACAGATTCTTGATCGATTTGGGGGATGCCAGAGTAGAGCAGAGAGTGATATACGAGAGGCTCCCCCGATACTGTACTTCTTGTCGTACTTTGGGACACGCTGTTGTCGATTGCCGTCGGTCGGGACCTTCTCGGGTAGCGATGGAGGCTAGGAGAGGTCCCCGACCAGCGGTTGTGCCTCCTATTGAGGAGCGGATTGTGACTCCTATTGAGGAGCGGATTGTGCCTCCTATTGAGGAGCGAGATGCTACGGCGGCTGAGATGACAGGCCGTAGGAGGCGCCGTAGGATGCGCAGGCGTAGACAGGGCCGGGTTGACGGTATGGGATGACGATACTTAACTGTTATAGCGTTGACGGCTCGGCAATCTACACACATGCGCCAACCTCCATCGTTTTTGGGCACCAATAGGACAGGTACAACACAAGGACTTAGACTTTCACGAATCCAACCTTTGCTCAGTAGATCCTCCACTTGCCTTTGTATTTCTTTTACCTCATCCGGGTTGGCTCGATAGGCTGGCCGATTAGGAATTGATGCTCCCGGGACAAAATCAATTTGGTGCTCAATTCCACGAGTGGGTGGTAAACCATGGGGTACTTCATCAGGAAAAACATCATCATACGCCTTCAATAAGTTAGAAAAACTAGATGGAAGTTTGTTAGAGTCATTCATGGAAAAATAAGAAGGTTTAGAAAGTTATAGCAGACAACGAACTCCATGTTCTAAGCGTAGAGCTTCCTTCCTACACATAAAAAGATTAGACCTCTCACTCTCGTGTTTAAGATTCCATCTGGTTTCACCCTGAATCACTACACTCGTGTTTGATTTTTTTGTAGAAGGGTAGAGTATTTGAGAGTGGCTCGGGGCAGATGTATTTATTGGTGAGGATGAAGATTTGAGAGATTGAGGGGAAGTTAGGCTATATGAAAGAGTAGATGCACTTGTATCCGGAGTACCTTTCGTTGCGGGTGATTCTAAGGAGGACTTCAAATTGGACTCCTCTTTTCCTTTGTTGATATGTTGTGGAAGCGGTGCTTTAGGTGACCCTACAATTGGAGCAAGTTTAAACGGATTACCTTGCATCCTCTTTGATTTTAGTTGCTTCTCCACCTTTATGGCCAAGTGTACCATGTCCTTGAGGTCCATGTATTGGTACATCTCTACCGCATCAACAATATCCCTTTGAAGCCCATTCAAAAATCCAGACATCGTTTGCTCCTGATCTTCATGGATATCGGCTTGTAGAAGAAGTATTTCAAGCTCTTCATAGTACTCCTCCATTGACCGAGACCCTTGTTCTATGCTCTGCAATCTCCGCAATACTTCACGATGGTAATGAGGAGGAACAAACCTCTTCCGCATGAGTGTACGAAGTTCTGTCCAAGTACGCACTGGAGCCTCTCTATTTCTGCGGCGGTTGATGCTCAATTGGTCCCACCATGCAAAGGCATAATCTGAAAACTCCATTACAGCCACACGGAGTTTTTGTTGGTCAGTTAATTGTTGAACATCAAAGATTAGTTCTAACCTTCGTTCCCATTGCAAAAATACTTCAGGGTCGGATTTTCCTTGGAACGGCGGCACTTGAAACTTGATCGAGTTGATAGCTTCATCTCCATCCCGTCGGTGATAGTTATTATGATGCCTACGTCGTTCCCAATTTCCTTCAAACTCCTCATCATCGGGTTCATCAAAGTTGTGTGGGGGTGGGGGCCGGATGTTGCGCTTGGCCTCAAATGCGGTTGAACACCATTTCGTCTCTGAGTTTCCGGTAACGGTCGGATATTCTCCTGTAACTTTTGTTGATTCTCTTCCAGTTGATCCATCCTATTATTCATCAATTCCAATCGAGAATAGTGAAGAGTTTTGAACTCTTGTAGAATGGTATTGAGAAGACCTTGTACATCAACTTGTTGAGAATTGGGTCCTTCACCCCCTGCCATTAGAAAGAGACGAAAGAAAAAAAAAAAAGGAAAATAACCTCACTAGAACTCTCGTGTATCACTCCACACCTTATGTACCTCTCTGTCTCGCAAAAAGGACTCAAATCAAATCGATGGAATTCTCCCAAAGACGATAGCCAAAAAATCCAAAACAGTAGGGAAACCAAAAGAAATATAAGCTCAGAATGAAGGTAGAAGACAAATAATCTAGATAAATTTTTTTTTTTTTTTTTGATAAAAGAAAAGATGATTCGAGAACTAGAAATAAATAACAAATATCTTTATATTTGATAATAAATTTTTTTTTGCCTCTTTTTTTCGTTTTTTTTTTTTTGCTCTTTTTTTTTGACTTTTTTTTTTGCTTTTTTTTTTTTCAAATAAGAACCGTGATATCAATCAAGAGATTGTGTCAACTAACTCTGATACCAGATGACACGGCCCGGCCGCGTATAAGTATAACCAACATAATTTTCTTACCCACAAAGTTCAATAGAACAAATGGATTAAGAATATGTATAAAAGAAAAGAGAAGGAAGAAGAAAGATAGTGCAGAGAATGTGAATTAGTATGGATGATAACCAACCACGAGAATAAGTCTCGGACCTGAAATCAATCCACAGGTAAAACACAAGTAATAGGCTAAATCCCACTGCAAAGGATTGGAAGCCACGAACCGATGGAATCACTCCAAAGACCCGATTTGAGATTCTAAATGCGAGGAAATCACTCCCTAACACTAGAAAATATAAAAGTGAAATTCAATTCAAGATGTAAAAAAGGTTTGCATTACAATGATAGGCAAGGACCTTATATAGAGGTCCTTGAGGAAAATAAAAGGCAAGAAATAATAAAGGAAACAAACCAAAAGATAAGTCTAACTATAAGGAAATAAATAATTAGGAAAGTTTTAGATATGGAATTATACTATATGGAAACTTATAATAAAAGGAAATAAGTGATGATTCCCTTGATATACTTCCACGATTAGTGATTCTCTCCATAAGTGATGATTCCTTTGATATACTTCCATGATTAGTGATTCTCTCCATAAGTGAGGATTCCCTTGATATACTTCCATGATTAGTGATTCCCTCCATAAGTGATGATTCCCTTGATAACCTTCCATGATTAGCGATTCTCTTGATCTTTCAATTGGGATTCTTGCGGGTCCCATTGAAGGAGCGTCAGGTGAGGAGGGCTAAGTGGTCTCCAAGCATCATCCTTAAATTGATTCTCCATGAAAAATTGTCTGATCAATGTAGTGACGGATTTTTGAAACTGGCGAGCTCGGCTTCGAGTGATGGGTCCCACGGGCATTTGAATGCTTAAAGATTTGACGTCCTCGTCAGTGTTGACAGAGTTGACAGAGTTCTTGCATCTGGCATCCGGGTTACTGTTCCGGGTGTTGGAGCACCAGCTGTGGTTGGGAGGGTTCTCTCGTCGGGCATTCGGGTTACTGCTCCGAGTGCCGGATTGGATCCGGAGGGGTCTGCTGAGGGCGCCGCTGCCTCGGAGGTCAGCATAGGCTCGGCGACTATTGCGAGGCCCCTGCTGTCTGGCGTCCAGCTACCTGGGTTATTGATCCCCCCGCTGCTCCTATTATTATCCCGGATCGTTTGGATGGCGCGACCCCGCCTGTGTTCCCAGATGAGGTGGAGGCTCGGGTTTCGAGCTCCCGGTGCACAGCGACCCTGGTGGCAGAGGAGGAGCTGCCTTCTCATCAGGCTCAAGGGAAGGCAGTGTTGGTTGAGGATACCCCGGAGTCCTCGCGCAGAACTGGTTCTAGTCGGGATGAGCATTCTTCATCCTTTGATGCGGAGTCGGAGGATTCGCCGCTTCTCAAGGATGTTACCCAGCCATCCTTGTTTGATATACTAGCTCTTTCGCCCCGCGGAGATGGGGGCTTTGTTTCGGGTCTTCGGGATAGCACCGGGCCTTTGTCGGAGGTGGAGGGTCTTCGACACTCCTGCCGCGTTACCTCAGAGCCGCCTCCTAAGGTGGCTCCCACAGCGATGGATCCGCTGGACGAGGTAGGGCCTGGGGGGCCGACCTGCCCCCCGGAGACTGAGATTCCCTTGAGCGCCCGGGTACAGAGCAGGCCGCCGCCTCCGGAGGTGAGCCGCCGGATCACTCGTAGCATTGCCAGCCTTCAGGCGCGGTCTTCCGTCGCCCCACGTCCCTAGATGACTAATTTTTCGTTCTTAGTATGGAAAGTTCGGGGGGCTGGGAACCCCCGAGCCCAGCGGGAGATCCGCTACTTATTCTGATCCTATTGGAGCCCATGGTTGAGGCTGCGCCGGAGTATTTCTGTCGGCATCTTGGGTTCGCTCAGATGATAGGGAACGAGGCGAACACGATTTGGTTGTTTGTCGACAGTTCCTTCCATACTCAGATGCTTGCGAGTGCCGATCAGTGGCTTCACGTGCAGATATCGTCACCGCAGATTCGTCGACCCTTCTTGCTGACAGGGGTCTACGGGAGATGTAATGTCGTCGGACATCGGGAGATATGGGGATTTTTGGAGGAGATTGCGGTCTCAGCCGTTGGGGCCCCTTGGATAGTCGGTGGCGACTTTAATGCCATCGCAGATATATTGGAGAGGGAAGGCCCAGGACGGCCGCGACTGCGTTCGATTCAGGACTTCTCGGGTGCGCTTCTTGATGCTGGACTGATAGACGCCGGTTTTAAGGGCCCTAAGTATACCTAGACGAACCGACGGGTGTGGAAGCGCTTGGATCGGATACTTTATAGCCGTTCGTGGGAGGAGTTTGCGGCGTCCACGCAGGTTCGGCACCTCCCGCGGATGTGTTCGGATCATGCGCCCCTTCTGGTTCGTGTCTCACATGAGCGCCATCGGGTTTTGTCAGCCTTTAGATTTCAGAGCATGTGGATTTGTCATCATTCTTTCATGGACAGAGTTCCGGAGAGTTGGGAGGTTCCGACGGGAGTGTCGGGACTTCTCAACTTACGCTTGAAGCTAAGTCGGCTCAAGCAATCACTGAGATGGTGGAATCGCCATGTCTTTGGGGATGTATTTCATATTCTGGCGGAGGCCGAGAGGGAGGCTGCAGAATGTGAGGTGGAGTATGACAGGGACCCTTCAACAGCTACTTTGTTACGCCGACAGCGTAGTGCGGCAGCCTTAACACATGCTATTGCGCTGGAGGAGGCCTTTTGGAGGTAGAAGGTCGTGTGCAGATAGGTTGTCGATGGGGAGAGGAACTCCCGGATGTTTCACTCAATGGTCCAGGAGCGTCGTCGACGCGCTTCTATCTTTTACATGGAAGATGGTGACCGGGAGCTTACGGAGCACTCGGACATCAAGGCATCGGCAGTAGCTTACTTTGCCTCGATGTTTGGGGAGACGGATGATGCAGATACTTCG